TTTTTTATTTGTGGTGTATCTTATTTTGAAGGCACGTTTAAACGTGACCATAGCGACCAGCGAGCGTTGCGGCCAGATAGGACGTTCCTCATGTCATGATTTGTGTTGATTATTATGTTTCGAAAATACCACAGTTTTCATGCGGGTCATATCATATTATTTTGTTGTATTTATCCGTCACAACTTAAAGGCCGGTCCCTGAAAATATTGTCTGGTGTTAAACCGGTCCGTGGGGCAAAAAAGGTTGGGGACCGCTGCTTTAGATCACACCACAGGTTCTGGCGATTTCTGAGAGGATGGGAGTATCAGATTCACGTCATGTTAACATCCGGGGACCTTTTAGGTGTCATCATCGCTTTAAAATAAGTACACTTGAGCGTTTTTCTTCGAGGGCCGCCCCTGTCGTGCGGAGCTTATCAGTCATCGAACAGCGGCGTCCCGTCACGATGCGGAAACATACAAATACAGGAAATGACTTTTGCAGGAACTATCCATTCAAATTGCTTCCTCTGAAGGACTTCCAAGCAGTGATAATGACAAGTGATAAGTTACTTGGAACAGAACCAAGCAAGATTAAGCCTTCACTTCCTTCCTCAATGGCTGCCTGTTAATTTGCCTCTGTGTGTTCCGTCCTCTTCCGGAGAGGTCCGCTAATCTGTTCGCCTTGGAACTGCAGAACGTTTCGACGTGGCGGATGACGCCAGGGAAGCGAACGAGTGATTGAGGAAGAGTCAGGACTCTACCCTCGGCTAATGCACTTTTGCATGCAACACACTCGGCATCTGCGATTATTTCCCAAGTCTATCGCGAACCTTAAACTCAATGTGTCCCCTTCTTTCAAAATCCTACTAAATGAGGTTCGTGTTAAATGAAGTGTTAGAAGGACTCTGTGTGTGTGTGTGTGTGTGTGTGTGTGTGTGTGTGTGTGTTGTTCTTTAATCAGTATGATTAAAGTCATCCATCATGTCAAATGGGCACCAGTCCTGCTGACCCTCATTAATACAGTCCATTGAACATTGTTGCGCACGAATACCTGAAGGCAACACACGATTTGGGCGCTTTCAGAGCGGTCCAGGTTTCACAACTAAAAATAAAAGCTCATTAAAATAAAAACGGCCTCTACGCGAGCGCCAAGTCAAACAGGCTGAAGGGAGAACTGGAAGTGAGAAACCGCAAAACCGCTCCTATCATCTGGAGTCCAAATGAAGAATGGGAAGACACTTAAAAGCATTTCCTCTGCTCCGAGCTATAAGTGCAGCTTCGATAACGAGAGCCATGAGAACGAGCTTTTCATCAAACGGGAACGTGAAGGCTCGGGTGGGGGGGGGATGAACCACAATGGCACAATTTAGAAACTCCGAAAGTCCTGCAAATATGAGTTTGTGTTTTATATTCTGACTTTTTCCACATCCTGTCATATCTACAAAGAGGATCATTTTCTGGTCCCTCAGTTTATTCTGGTAACAGGAATCTGGTGCGTCTTCTCAAACGAGTGTTGCAAGAAGGATTTTTCGACTCTTCCTTCATTCAAGAAAACAGAGAGCGACGTCAAAATGAATAAATGCAATTTAGAGGTGACGCATGTTGAACTGTGAGATCAGTGGGTCAGAAATGAAACATCTGTTCGATTTTGGAATTGTTCGGCACTTGCAGGCAAACACTCATCCAATAAAACAGAAGCTTTAAATCAGGGGTTGGCACTGAACGGAACACAAAGAGACAAAAAAAAAAACCCCCAACAACAACAACATTGTCTTCCCATAATGTGACCATTAATTAATAAATAAACTAAAAAAAAAAAAACTATTTTTTTTTGTGAAATACAAAAAAAAAAAAAAGAAATAAGAAGAAGGGCAAAAAAAAAAAATAGATTTCCAACTTTAATATGATCAACGTGCACAACTCAATGCAATTTTGGTTTTGATCCTTTTTGAGAGGGGAAGTCAAATCAATAATGCCTGTTGCACAAGCGTATCTCCAGGACATTTCCCATTGACTTGAGACATGACCGTGTTCCGAATTAAGAAATCTGTTAAAACCGAGTTGTTCTAGTCGTCTTTTTCTGGCATGTTTTTGCTTGACGAGTGGTGTTGCGTTTGCATCAAATATGCCTTTTGGAATTACCGCCCACAAGTTTAGCTTTGGTTTCATCAGACCAAAAACACATTTTCCCCAAATGTGCATTTCGTTGTGTTTATTTTCGGGGTATAGGTTACAGGCCACGATAATGGAGGTAATTTGTTTTGGGAAAGGATTAATCTTGTCAGGTTTTTACGAATTTGAACAGGGGTGTGCAGACTTTTAATAACACCGTCTTGTAGACGAGCAACAGACCGCCATCAGGAATTCAAAGCGGCGCGTCTCCTTGTTCAAGGCAGCATTTTGCTCTGACAACTGATGAGCGTGACCCATTTTTGGGAAAAACCTGCTTGAAACGCTTCTGCCCCTAATTCAACAGTTCTTCTGTTTGTCCTGAAATCGTCGCCGAAGATTCTGGGAAACGCCTGATCGGCTTTTCCGTGAGTTGAACGTCCTGTCAAGTTTCCAAGCAAACATCCAACAAACCGTCATAACTTCTTGACTCGAGACTGAAATGTTTTGGCTCGCGCATTTCTTTCCACTGTCTGGGTGCCAGGTGGACAAAAGAACAGGAGGAGGACGACGCACTTTTTGAAGCAGGTAACTTGCATGCCGAAAGGACTTTTTTACATTTTGCTGTCGTGGCCATTAGCCTCCGTGACGTCACTGACCGCACGGCCTCTGACAAATGCTGGAATGCCGAATGTTAAAACGGAAAAGTACACTTTCAAAGCTTCAATCAGACAACGCAAATCTTGGCCTCGAGACAAGAATCTCAAGTCTTTCCATGATGCAACGCGGCATCCGCTTGAAATGAATTCACCACAACAAACCCCGCAGGAGACGCTTCTCCGTCCTTCTGGCCGTCCTCAAAGCACCAAAAGCACCAGCGGACGAGATCGGACCCAAAACAAGCACGCGAGTGCAAAACAAATGGGCCCGAACGAGCCCCAGTTGATCTCCCCCCCCCCGACCCGCCCCAGCCAACCTTTGGCATGGCAGTCAGTTATAGAGACGTCAAGTGGTGCGGGCGGGAATGTGAAACCCAAGCACGTTCCCCCATTTGGCACGCAGTTATGAGGCCACTTCATAGGAGTGTAAACTGTGTATTTAAAAAGCCGTCATTGTGGGACTAACGCTGGCCCTGAAGTAGGTTGTTAGAATAACTCAATGACACAATGGTTTCTTTTCTAAATAAACAGATGTGGGTAGGCTGTTAAAACCGTCAGCTTTTTTTTTTCTTTCTTTCTTTTCTCCGCTTCCCCTTCGTCCTTCTCCCCTCCTCCATCTCATCCGCGCGAGCACGCGCGCACACACTCGCTTCCACCCTCTGTCCACATGTCTAAGAAAGGCAACGGGCCGCTCTTCCTGCAGCTGTTCAGTACACACACGGGCCTCTGTTCCAGCTCCAGTATCCTAAGTGTGCAAATTCCGGTTGTCTAGCCGATTAATGATGATTTATCTTTCTGTTTATTTATTTATTTTTTTAAGTCTTCATCTTCCAAGACCACTGCCGCCGCACACCAACTAACTGCTCATGGCCTCGGTCGTCAAAAACGCTGCCATGTAGAGGAAATGAACTTGGCAAAATCCTGCTGGCACTGGATTATGAACTCTAAATGCCCAAAGATGAGTGTGGCGTTTCGTAATAGCTTGGCCCATCCATATACTGTCCAGTGAACCCCCGATTCACAGGGGGAATAAGCCAGCCCATGAATGACGAAAACATATTTATCATGGATACTCGTTAGAAATGCATTAACTTTTTTTTTTTAAACACTTAAAATTCCTGAAAAAAAAAACAAAAACAAACAAAAACATGGGTAAACCTCCAATACGGATTTTCCACAACAAATGTGAATTGGCACGTCAACTGCTTTTTCCGTTTTTGGTTAGCATTAAGCTAGCGGGCCACTCTTAATTAAGGAAACCTGAGCTTGTCTTCGATACATGATGTGTCATTTTACAGGAAATTCGGAGTGGCATTCAATAGCTTGATGCCTCTTCTTTGATCGCTTGTGCAGTACTGGCCAAAGTGACGCTTCTGATGTAAAGTGAGTTGAATTGAGTTCATTGCCACCAAACGACACCCGTATCTCAAGTTTATACCTGCGAGTAAAAAAAAAAAAAAAATCAGCTGAATGACGGCTTGTATCTAAGCGGGGCGACTCGTACCGTCAAAATAAAAAAAATAAAATCAATAAAAAGATTAAAAAAAATCGAAACAATGCAAAGACAAACACTTCACTTCGAGTAAGCTTCCCCGACATTCAAAAGAGGCTTATTGTATTTGTGAGAGTCAGAACGGCACAAGACAACCCAAACGCTGCTCCATTGTTTCAGGACCTCCACTAAAGTGTGAAAACGTGGAGGCGAGAGGTGTTATTTCGCAAGTCTGTTTGCTTGCCAATCAGCAGGATTTCGCAAAAATCTCACTCACGTGCGTCGAGGATTTTCATTCCTGCGCGCAGTCACGATGGAACATTTCCCCGTGTCCAAGAAGCAAATGGTAGAGGAGTTCCATCCATCTCATCCAAACGTCTTGCGTCATTCGCCAGGGACGCCAAAGTAGCCTGCCAAAAAAAATATACGGACAATGAAACAAAAGCTTTTGTGAGGGGGAAATTTATTTTCACTTCATGCCATTGGAGTCATGATAAAAGTCTTCAAAACGGTACAGTCTCTTCCCACAGCTGCATGTGCTCCTCAAATAGTATCATGAAATATTATTGAAGTAGGCTTGTTGTTTATGTCCCATGACAATATGTTAGATTGTACCATCAAATACATCTGTCATAATTTTTGTGTGGCCACACAACCGCCGCTTGAATTTTGACAGCCCGCACAACTCCAATTCCCCACGAGGAAGTCGGACAAAGGACGACAGTGATGTCTTAAGACAGAAGTTTAAGTCGTTCCTTGACGGCGGTTGCCATTTAAAACAGCTGCATATAATAATGTTGCCCGATTGAAATGAATTAAAATGCCACAAATTTGTTCCCACATCCCCCACAAAAAAAAAAAAAAAATTATGAAAGAAAGCTAAAATATGGGGCTATATTAAAACACACATTAGCAACATTAGTAAATTAGAGCAAGGATGGGCAAATGGCGACCGGGGGCCACTCAGGGTGTCATTAATGATTAATTTTCAGAAAGAAGTTGACATTTTGATTTTTTTTTTTTTTTTAACAGTCCCAAAGAATTCTTCAAAAAAGCTAAACATTCAATGAAACGTACTGCACAAAAACCGGGGAATGAAATGGGAGAGAAAAATCCCCGGCGAAAAATGGAAAGAAGCAAAATGATTAAAAAAAAAAAAAGGTGAATAAGCGAATCTGTGATTGCCGAACCGCGAACATGCATCGGTTGTAGTTTTAAGTTGCAACATCACCACGGCAGACATGGCTTCGTTGCGCTTACACGGTCTTATATTGCCCTTTACTACAACATCATTTGGCCAAGTAATTTTTGAATGGTTTTGGAATGATATGCAGGACAAACATGGTACCACAACAATATTAACTTTTAAATTTTTTGAAATTAAATTTTGAGTGAGTTGATTTGGTGAGAAAAAAAAAATGCACTTGATGTTGGTTTGCTGTTTTGCCGTTTTGTGCTGTCCTTCAAATGGTCATTTTTATGCAGGAGAATCACTTTTCATTTGCAAAGACAAACAAACAAAAAAAAAATACTAGTATGTGGTTATTTTGTTGTTTTCTTCAAACCCTTTTTTGCTGGGTTAGGATACTGCATTTTTTTTTTATATAAATTGAGAAACATTAAAAATGAAATATGTTAAGAGCATGTAATTTGTCCATATTTAAAGTGCAGGGCATTTGGTTAGGAATTGCATGGTCCTATCTGCCCCCCGTGTAGCATTAAAGTTGCACATCCCTTAATTTGAGTTTCACAACTGATTCATATTTACCGGTAGTGGCACTCCAATCAATCGCCCGCTGATCATAATTTTCCGAGAACGTTTGAGAACCTCTGCTCTATTGTTTCTGTACCCGAACTAAATGTGACGAAACATTTGTTGAAGAGCTATTAAGATTAAAAAAAAAAACAAAACAAAAAAAAAAAACAGAACACAAGACGGAGAGAATTCCTTTTTAAAATCAACCACCAGTTACCAACGTCCCCGGCAGACATTTGCGGGGGCCCTTTCCGAGCAGTGCCGATAAGGCTGCCTGGCGACTAAATAAAAAGCACATGTCGAACATAACAGAGATGCATCATTCCTCGATGAACTCTTGACTCCGGGTGGATTACTGTGACCAATCCACATGTTACACACTCGGAACACAAATCACTTTGCGAGGAAAGTTCAGAATCAGTAATAACGTGCAGAGATGTTGCCATGGCTGTGTTGCTCAATGACTACATTCAGAACGTTCCACTTTTTACTCTTTGTGTGAGTGTGTGTGTGTGTGTGTGTGTGTGTGTGTCCTTTTTGGGCAGGGCTTCATCTCGACCAAGTGAAATTCTGAAGTTTCGCCACAACAACTTGTTTTCAGCCGGTAAGAGCCCGGCAATAACTCTGCTGGGGCCCCAGATGACTCTGGACAGATTCATCGCAGTCAACACCCGAGGTCAAACGCAGGTAATCCATCAGGGCGCCAGGCTAATTCGGCACTGTCAGGTAGGAGCAAAAGAAGTCACTTCGAGTCACGGGGTTACGACTCGTCGACTGAAATTGATGGTTTCTTCCCAGCGGGGTAGCCGAGTCGCTAAGGTTGGGCCGAGCACACGCCGTACTGGGTTGGAACACAGATAAACAAAACGAGAAGCTAATATTCCTCGCCCGTGTAAAGATAAATAAAGGCTTGATTATAAGTGAGCGATACTTGTGTAAACTCTCGGGAGGAAAAATTTACGGTGTGCGTTAAATGACGTGATGCTCAAATCTCAGGAACAACTGACAATGTAAACAAGTCGACTCCCTCGGCCTGTTCCACTTCTAACACGGCAGCGGGGAGTGAGGATGACGCCGCACTGAGTGTCGGGCTGGTTGCTCGGCACAACAGCTTGCAGAGATTGTTTGTCGAAGGAAAAAAGGGGACTGTTCGAAACAGGAAAGGAGCCTGTCGGTTTCGGCTTGGCATCAGGCCAGCACAATTCCAGCTTTGTTATTGGAAAAATATGAATTATTGGTCAAAGACAGGCCAATTTCATAGCGATTTGGCTCCCGATTATTAAGCCGCAAGATTTGTGAGTTGGGCTTTTGGTGTACATGTGAGATGCTTGAGTCGACTCATTTTTGGATTGAAGCATCCCTGAGCTGTATCATGATATTAATGTTACAGATAGTGAAGGGGTCCTTGTTGTTGTTGCACAAAACAGAACGATTCCTCATGCACGAAAGCAACAATTGTTCTCGTCATTTGAAAGAGTCTGCAAAACTGCTCCTTATACTGCGACTTATTTTGAAGACTAAAAAAACCCCTAAACCTGAGTCACTTGTATCGCAAGACCACTGTAATCGGAGTCCCAGACGACACCCTGCGCCGGTGAGTCCGCTGGCCAAAAGTTGATCCTCTCCTTACTTCCGATCGCTCGCCCTCTGGCCGTCCTCTCAGCTGATAGGAATGCAGGTGCAGATGTGTAGTGGCTTGCTTTAAGATTTTTTTTTTTATTTTTTTTTTATGATGTTTCGAGGGTCTGCAAACTCGTTCACCTTCCCAAACTTGACTTGGAGGCTTTTGAAAGTACTGGGATGAATTCCGGTGCGAATCCTCCAATACAGACCAACATATGGTACGGTGGAGAGTCAAAGACGTCTGGGACAATTTGGAAATACGGAACAAAACTTGAACGTTCGTCAGCAGACTGTGTGAGACCTCTGTCGGTCCGAGCGGGCAACTTTAGACTGACGTCCGCCAGATAGCAGGATACGCCCACATTCGCGGCACGGCGGATTGAGGTAGACAAAAATAGTACTCTTCGTCTTTAATCTGCTATAAATATATTTTTTTAAAAAAACAACAACAAAAAAACAAGTCCATTATCCAATGGTTCATTTCCCTCATAGTCGATCGAGGAAGTCTGGTCAAATTCTCAAGCCTAAAATGAACAATGGTTTCAGTTCAAACCGGTGTTGTGTAAACGCCCCTTCGCATGACATCAAAATGGCGGCGCTTAAGCCTCGACTTCATTACATACCGTATCAATCACCATGCGGTGAAAGAAAGAAAAAAAAATGAGTGGACATCTGGCATAGTGGCAATAATTTCCTGGACTCTGGCTGTCTCTGGATGGAGCCCGGCAGTCTGGGCCCACATAGACACGAGCACCCAGCAAACACACTCATCCACCCAGCACAAGGCAGACCTCTGATCTATCTACAAGCCAACAATCTAGCCCTTCTTCTGTTCCAGACATACTTTCTGTCACAATCCGTCCACCGTGAATGAAGATAAAGTAGCAGACCGTCAGTCAGCAAGAGGCTATCAGAATTACGGAGATGGCTGGATAATACCAATTTAAAGACCTTTCTCCTCCCCCCGCCCCCCGACCGTTCCCTCCATCAAGCTGCTCCAGACAGAATCCTCAGGAGCACTAATGATACACTTTTAGCTTCAAATTTAGACGTCAGGGGTTAAGAAAGAGGCCTTCTGCGTCTCTGGCAAATGGAGAAGACTCTCAGACAAGTTGCAAGAGTAGCCGTTAAAGTAAGAGGGTAGTTTCCTCTCATTAGAAGCCTGTGGCGACATTCGGGTCTAAAATGGACGGCCCTCACGAAGCGGAGCTGATAAAATTAGGAAAGGATGGAGAAGGCCACAGCTGCTGCCCTAGGCTCCACGTAATAAAATCACGAGCGGTGTCGCTTACAAACCTGGCTTTTGTCAACGTGGTCATTTCAACGGCACCTTGTCAGAGTCAATGACACTAATCGCAATGCGTTTGTCTGGTGCTAGTTTACCATTACCGCAGCTAGTAAACGGTAACGTCATAAACGCCAGAAAGGTGATATTTACGGGACGTTTTCATGAACTGCAATTTTAACAGCTTTTGATAAAACCTAAACTATGACAAAAAATTGCATGGTTGAGAGATGTGTACACGCCAGTAAAAACAACAGCCATAGATGTAAATGGGTCAAAATGACATGCTACTGCGGATGCTAAGCTAACGTCAGCGCTCCATTACTTTTGGAGGGACCCTGTACCGAATTTTGAAATGTACTGTACAAAAGGGTGTTTTGAGTGAACTGGACACTCATTTTTGGTCCTCTGAATCCTAGTTTGAGGTTCCACTGTCTTTTTGATTGTGTTAGGTTGTCCCTGAACAAAGCTAATTTAGCAACAACATAGATGTAGTGTAATTTCGAAAACATTTACTGTAGCTATATCAAAGTCAAAATTAAAACTCAGCATTCATGGGTGTAAAATAGTGCAAATCAACACAATAAAATAGAAAACGTGAGTCAGGGGAGTGTCTCGACACCCTGCAAAGGACAGTTTTTAGTCGCGCTAGCAAGCCATTCGCAGCTTAGCGCAAGTTAGCTTAGCACCTAGTATTTACGGGATAGTGTCCGAGAAGAAAATGAAGGACAATGGGTGACTCTTCC